AGAAATTAAGCCTGCAACATGGCACTGATCCTGCCTTTACCCCTGTAAGCAGAGTATTTCTGTGCCTGCATATAGCTGCACTGACCACAACGGGTTGTTTACGATAGCAGGATCAGGGACTTGTCCTTTACCTTGCTTTTAATAGAATAAATGGAATGGAAAATATATTGAAATTAAAGAGTAGCAACCCACCAACTATTCTGATCGGAACTTCCCTTTTAGAGGGCTCGTTGACGCTAGGCTGGAAAATATGACTGAAGACCCATGTCAGGGCCTGAGCAATGCCCTGAGTGGTTCATGTCACCACTAAGTAAACAACAAGGAGATTTAGGTCTTTCATCTCCCTCTGCAGCTGGGCTGCAGCGGGCTGAAGCAAAGCTCACTGAAGTCACTGGACATCTCATTTCACTTTCGATAGGCATTTGACCAAGAACACAGCTTTATGTGGAATGGCCTGCAATTTGCTTTGATATCTTTCTTGCTCAAATGTCTGTATTTAGGATTTGTACACAAACATGTCAGACTTCTGCTACTGGTTCTGACATAGAGGAGAGACTACAACTACCAGAGATATTGCTGCACTAATATGTTATTACCTAGCACTGCTTACAAAGGCTGCTGTTTTCACAGTCACAGTAATTGGTGTCTTATGCTCTTCGTTGCCTGAAAACCACCTGAATATTGATCCCTGAGGTACCATTGCTCTCAACTATAATGTCCCAGGTTTTTACTTTCAGGAGAGTAAAATGAAATACACCCAAGCCTTGCATGTTCACAAGTTGCTAGCTCAGGGATCTTCCTCCAAATAAATCTAGGGACCCACACTTGCACTTGGGGAGCTACTGTGTAACTAAATCGCACACGAGGGCCCCCTACATGCAAGCCTCACTCCACCAGTTACCCCACCCTGGGCACCTGGGACTATGCAGCCCGCCCTTCTCCTGCTTTGCTTTTCCTCATCTTAGAGTGAGCATTCAGCCTGGAAACACCTTCTCCTGGGATATGGAATAGGTCTTCTTCCTCTTTGTCTCCCTGCAACTTGTGCTCAATACTTTATTCTTACTGCTCACCTTGGCTCTTTCAAGTGATTTCTTTTGCACGCTTTCACCCTTATCTTTTAAGTATAAGCTTGTACTAGTTTACTGTAAGATTCTGGTGAGAAGTCTCCTTTGGAGCCAGCTGCCCTTAGTCGGGTGTTATCAATCACTGAGCTCAGACATAAGTCATTTGTGACTCTGAGCTACAGAAGGTCTGTAAGCATGAGGGGTTCCCTGGATCATCACAGGCACAATTTTAAGAGGGTGCAAAATCACCCAAGTTTTTTTTCTTCCCCTAACTTTTTGAAAATATTTTCCTTCAAGTGTTCACCACAAGAAGCAGTGTTCAAGAAGAGCCAAATTCTGGTCTCAGCTGCCTAAGTGTAAATCCGTATCAGTCTTCCTGGTTTTATTTCAGTACATTGGATCAATGCATCGAAACATAAAACACAGACTTTGACCCTGGCAGACTGACCTTATCCCCAGTGTAACTTTCCTGACTTTAATACTGAATCCCGTAACAGCATTTCCAACCTTTGTGACGGTTGTCACAGGCCCCATAATGCTTGGTAATATATATAAGGTCCAAGTTGTTCATGGCGCGTGTAAGTGCAACAGAATTACAGCTTTATTTAAAATAATTAGGGGAAAAAAAGTGTTCTGGTAGTAGACAGAAAAATTTAGAAGTGTGACTCCAAGGCTCAAACCTGGGGAAACAAATAGGATCCAATTACCTGTGTTTATATCTTGTAGCTCATAGTTTGGACCAGTTGGAGAATTGCTGAGGTGTCATTACTAATGTTGACTGGCCCAGTGTTTAAGTACATGCAAGCAGGTTAAATGCGATGTCTACATATCATGTGTGCATGTTTCAGGAAGGTAAAAAAAAAAAAAGTAAGAAAAACAGTGTACGTTGGCTTTGGTCCTATCCTCAGTTTCTCAAATGCTAGTTACCACATTTGATTCCAGTGGAAAACCTCAGAGGAAAAGCCAAATGGTACAGCAGGGCCGTAGGACCCGTGTAAATGCATGTGTCATGCATCACCTCCTGAAGCAAACAGCATTTCCAGTGTGACGACAACTGTGCCCTCGTGTTCTCATGTACCACTGTCCATTACA